CTAACTTTTTGTTTTTATGTGAATTATGATATATTTCGCATTAATTTGGTCACATACCTTCTTACTTACAGAAAAATGAATTTCTCAATCTTACGACAACGGAAGATAGTGATCCGTTCTGGGCCGCGTTCAAAAAGTCCATGGAGGAGGAGTAAGTGGACGTTATTTTTCTGCACACTATTTTTACAGGCCTTTAACGGTGTTTTAGGAAGTGCGAGTTTGAAAAGGACATTTTTCCGGGATCTACTGACTCAAGATTTGTTCGTAAGGTAAGTGAATGCAAGGTCTTCTATTTTTCTAGTCTATTTTACAACTTTTTCGGGGCATTGTGCGCATCACTGATGGATGCTGACGTGCATCCGCTTTTGTTTCTTATTTCAGAGCTCACTGAGCTCGGTTACTGTAGTGACTGCGTTTCCTCTAGATCTTCCGGCTAAGGTACGTTTTTTCAGCTTGGTTACCGTGCCATTGGATTTGCGCCAATGAACAATACTCCTTCACTTCTGCACGACCATGATGAATACCTGAATGAGAATGTGTTTCTGCGAGGAGTAAAAATCTATGAAACGTTGATTGATAATTTAGCCAGCGTTAAGGAGTAATCATTCTATTCTTGATTGGTACGTGTCATTTATTTGATTTTTATTTTAGTTCCTAGTGCACGGCTGTGTTCCCAATAAAACACTTTTCAATTCAGTGTTATGCCTGTGGAGGTTTGGGAAGAGAGTAAATCTGAATGGGAAACGTAACATTTTGTTGAAGAGCCTCGTTTCGGTTCGATTTTGCAACAATTGCAGCGATTAGTCATAAAAAGACAATGCGTAATCACTGCAGTTTGGCGCGTACGAATTGAAATGCGGCTCTAATGGAATGCGTTTCCATTATAGTCCAAAAACAATCGCCGCGTAGCTCTTGAACCAGGGCCATTACTTATTGCGCATCGTCAAATCAGCTACGGTTCGTTTTGCGTTGCATTCATTACGCTATCAATCGGACATGCCAATCATATCCCTTTTTGTTCTATTGCTCGTAACTTGTCCTCATTCGTTGGCGTAGCCATAGTAATGTCGAAAAGTATGGTACGCATTCGCATCAGCGTGTGTGGGGTTCTTCAAGCTTCTTTCAATGTCATGTTTGCGTTGAAATTCAAGCGCTCGCAAGAAAAATGGCGCTTTTTGCGCTCGCTAAAAGGCTTGTGGGTTCATCCATGTGGTGTTGGTTAAGGCGGTCACAGAGCAAGTTATCCCTTTTGATTTAATCTCATAAATCTAGACCAAAATAATATTAATAATAAATAATCTTACATGGATTTCTTTATTTTGTCAACGAAGAAAATATCTTAATAAGAAAATTTTGGTCAAATCCCTCCGATGAAATTCAAGGTTAAACTATATTTTCTGTGCCTTTGGTGTGTACCTCCTGATAATTAAAAAAAACCATATTCTATTTGCACATCAGTTTCTAATGCCTTGTCATACTGGGACCATTTGAGTCATTGTGCGTTCCATCAATCCCGTTTACTTGTTAAAAAAACACATTTGCCGAAGTCTACGATCAGAAGACTTCAAAAATAATTTTTTTCAAGCGAAGCATGGAGACTCAGTACCACCTTTAATAGGAAATCAGTACACATTTTCGGTAATGCATAATGAGAACTGGATTTTTACTTCAAAATTATGCAGCTTATACTAAATAGCAAAAAGATGGGGTTTTCCCATCACCCCGGAGACCCTTTGGGAGCTCTTTCCATCGAAATTTTTTTAACTAAATATTTTTTTCAATTTTTTCAACTTTGACTTTGCTTTCAGCACTTTTTTCTTCAGATCTTTTCGCGCGGTAAAATCCTTACCACTTTTTATATATTTGGAAGGAATCTTCAAGAGCTTTTGCTTGATTCATATGAAGCCCTTTTTGTAGTGGGTCAAATAGAATTAAAAGATCCCAGCTCTAGCGGGCATACCTGTGGGATTTAATCTTACAAGGGAAGTGTCAGAATTCGCAGTGGCCTTCTAGCATGAGATAGATACCATCTGAAGCAGCTCCGAACGCTGATTCCAAAACTGTCTTCCTTAGCCATAAGTGCGATAGTCTGAGATGGGTACCCTCTGAAGTGAAGGGG